ATGAAATGGCAGGTGGGGTTTGGGCTACGGTGTACTTGGGTACTACCTAGGTCCACCAAAATCCGAGAAGCGTCCATTCTGCCTGTCCGCTGCCTTTAAGGACTCGATTCATCTGTCTGTAACTGTCTATGAAGGCCTATATTCTTTCTGCAGGTTATGATTTAAACGTCAAAAGAAGCGCAGCTCAAAACGTTGCATATTGCTATGCGACCTTTTGCACTGCGCTGGCTCATTCTGTACTATGGTTTCGTGGAAGATTTATTTTACAGCATCAAAATGTGAATATATCTGATTCCTGAGGATTATCAATAAATGTTAAATCACATGACCATACAGTATAACTATCATCTTATGTACAATATATCTAGTTAACTAAAGCATTTGGAGAATGGCGTGATATTGCATGCCGTAAACTTGATAATATGATATCCTCGCCTGCATTCTTTCTTGCTTCGCTTTCATTGACGTCAGCTTGGATACTAGGAACAAGAGAAGTGGCAATCTCATTGAAAATCTCTGACCACCTTTTCTGGTAGAGTCGCAGTAAATGGTCGCTACCGGTCTGAAAAGTTCGTAATAGGGAAAAAGATGGGAATGAATACGCACCTCCACGAGTTCGAGCAGGATAGCAGCGGTTGCCATTGGTCTCACTTTTGATTTTGTTAATATTGACAATACTCTCCAGAGTGACGCAGCATTAAAATGGGAAATCTTTTTGCTGGACAATCCTAAAATTGAAACTTCTCAAAAAATAAAAGCGTACGTACTTTCGTTTCGATAAAGTCAAATGAGAAAACCTATCTAATTATAAAAGCGACCATACCTACAACATGGAGGTGGATGTACAACTTGATGGCGGTAGTTTCAGGGTCAAGCATAGACCGTATATCGTCGGCAGCAGCTAAGTGCTCGGTAAATGCGAGGCTATAGAAAAGTGCGATATCAAATCTGTTGTTTTCCATGCAAAGAATCCATACAACTATTGCTAACTCGATAATTACCATTTCTCCTCATTCAAACTCAGCAATTGCGATGCTCGGAGAAGCTTCCCCAAAAGAAGTGATTCAAAATCCGGGATCCCCTCACAGATATCGATCAGTATTTGACTTATCACGTCAGCCAAGAGTGGGTCTCGTTCCACGATACCCTGAATGTAACGAATGCAGCTTCTGTGAGTGCTAGACAGAAGCTCCTATGGAAGCAACAAAAAAAAAAGGCTGCGCACCATATATGACTCAATCGTGACGATATAAGCGTAGAGAATAGGTCCACCGCGAGGAAGTTGTAACGTTTTGTTGCCATATCTGGAAAATTAGTGCATTATACTATACTAAAAACTATAGTTAGCGGTCAGAGCTTTAAACTTTTCAGATGGCTCCTATTTTTAGATTGACGACATCCAAAATAAAAGATGGAAATGA